CCCCTCCCCTCTCTGCTGATTTCCCATTTCCGCAAGTAGATGGAGTGGGGGACGCCAGCTCCACTGCATGCCCCTCCCCTTGTTTTCTCCATTTAGTATCTTCTGTTTCCCGTGAACTCACTCAGCTGCCACGTCATCTCTGCCACCTCCTCCATGGCACGAAGCCCCCTTTCAAACATGCTGTACCGGGTAGACTGGGGGGCATCTCCGGGGCTGGGGGCTGTGCGAGCGCCAGTGCCCGGTGCTGAATGAGCACCACGGGCCTCCTTGGAGGCGGGGGGCTGCCCGGGAGCTTGGTGGGCACCCGGCGGCGCCACCCTTCCCGTCTCCCCTGCCAGGGTCTCGTCTCTCGCAGGAGCTGGGCACGGGGCCTTTCCTCCTCTGCCGCTTCTATGCATCGGGGGAGGGCGGGAGGGTCCAGTCCAGGTTGTGCCAGAGGCAGGGGGTGGGACCCTGCAGGTGGCAGGTGTGCCCCATGGTCCGTCTGGCTTCTGGCGCGCAGGCCGTCCCCCGGCTTCGAGGAAGAGGAGGGGAGGGGCGGCAGGCCTGTCCACAGGCAGCTTCGGGGCCCGCTGCCCACTGGGCCAAGGGCCTGTCGAGCAGCCGGGGGGCTTGCTTGGGCAGGAAGGGTGCTGTGGGTGGACCTGGCCTGCAGCAAGGGGCCGCGAGGGGGCCCGGTGAGGCTGCTGCCCCCCTCGCGATGCCCCCGGCCAGCCACTGTGGTTCTGCCAGGGGGTTGCCCTGGGGGCAAGGAGCTGGGAGCCCCTGCAAGAGCAGACCAAGGTGCAGGGCTCAGAAGAGGAGGCGGTCCCTGCCCCAGCGCTCCCAAGCCTGGAGGCACAACAGGGGCAGCGTGGGGGCAGAGCAAGGGGTGGGTGCAGCAGCCTCCGGAAAGGGGCCTCATGCCGGCAGTGCCTGCTTCCCGGCTCGCTCTTGCTCAAGCGCGTCCGCTGGGAATGGCTGGCGTACGCCACGGTCCCTCCTGTGCGACGGCTCATTCTCGTTTCTGCTTTTAGCCCGGGAGCGCTCCGTGCCTTGTTGGCCTTTCGCAGCAAGGACAGGCCACGTGCGGAGGAACCCTTCCCACGAGTGCCTCGGCCCCCCGCCTGGTGGGAGCCACTGGCATGTGCCCTCCAAGAGCGCCCTCGGAGGGGCCCCGCCCAGCGGCCGCCCGTGCATCGTGGACCCCCCGCCGTGCACGTGCGGCTCTAGAGCACTGGGCCTCGTCGCGCACATCCGGCCCCGTGGGTGCGAGCGCCACGTGAGCCTCCACTGCCCGCGCCTGATACAGAGTCACACTCCGCCGGCCACCCACTCGCTGCCGCGCACCAGAGCGACACCGCGGGAGGACGGGAGGCCCCGCGTCCTGCGCAGGGCCGAGCCACGAGCCGCGTGCAGGCAGCCCGTCTTTCGGCAAGGAAGAGGAGCCAGCGGCGGGGAACCGCCTGCGGCCGGTCGCTGCCTCCCGCGTGGTGCTGGGGCAAAGCAGGCCCGGAACCGGGGCTCCACCCCGGCCCTGCTGGGTGACCCGGCCCACCGGGAGAAGGGGCCCTCCCGCCTGCAGGCCCACGCCAGCTGCCCCCCTCTCTCTTCCAGACCATGGAGACCCAGGTGGAGGAGTGGAGCAAGGAGGTGGGCGAGCTGCAGGCCCAGGTGGCGGCTCTGCCCCTGGAGGCCGCCAGCAAGGAGATGGTGGACGAGCGGCAGAGCACCGTCGGGACGCGCATCGTGCGCCTCATCGAGCCCCTCAAGGAGCGCCGGAGGATCCTGCTGGCCTCCAAGGAGGTGCACCAAGTCAGCCACGACCTGGAGGACGAGATTGTGAGTGGGGCCGCGGGGACGCCGGGAGTGTGGCAGGTGCGGGTTGCACCCCTTGGGGCAGCGCCGGGGCGGGGGAGACGTGGGCGGGCCTGGAGCCCCAGCGCTTCCAGCTGGCAGTCCCGCCGAGAGCAATCCAGGCAGCTGCCATGAGAGGCGGGGAGGGAGGGAGCTGCTGGGCTTCCCTGGATGGGGCTCCCCTGGGCGGGTGTCCCCATGTGCCCCCAGGCCCCAGGTCAGGTCGGGGAGGAGCAGCCGGGGGGGACAGCCCTTGAGGGCTGGCACTGGGCAGTGGGAGCGGAGGGGGGCTTTGGCCCCCCAAACACTGGGGGGGGGGGGCACCATTCCCCCCCCCCCCCGGGGGGGGGGCGGCCCCTCTGGGGGGGGGGCCCCCCCCCCCCCCCCGCAGGGCTTTTTGCCTCGGAGGTGCCCAGGAGCTGTCCTGACGCGGCCGTTCCCGCACCTGCCTCTGCTCAGGTCTGGGCGCAGGACCGCCTGCCCCTGGCCACGCTGAAGGAGCACGGGAGCAACCTGCAGACCGTCCAGCAGTTCATGAAGAAGAACCAGGTGAGCGGGGGGCGTGAGGAGGCTGGCCCCCCACCCCCAGCCTGGGGCACGAAGGCGGCCCTGCGCCGTGCTGCCCAGGGGATGAAGCAGCCGGCTTTGCACTCCTGCTGTGGGGAGCCGTGCCTTCGCGCCTGAGCCGCCCCGGCGTCGGCGGTGGGCCGTGCCGGGGGCCGCGCTCCTGTGCCATGTCTCCCCGTGCTCGGGGCCAGGCGGGGCCGGCTGCCTTCACGGACCACGTGCTCCGTTCTGCCCGCAGAACCTGCGCCGGGAGATCCAGGTGCACAGGCCCCGGGTGGAGGAGGTGCTGGAGCGTGCGGGCGCCATCGCCCGCATCAGGAGCCCCGAGCTCGACGCAGTGCGCCTGCTCCTGCAGCGGCTCTCGGAGCTGTGGGCGGCCCTCCAGGCAGAGACGGAGCAGCGGCAGCAGCTGCTGGACGCCGCCTTCCAGGTGGAGCAGTACTACTTCGACGTGGCTGAGGTGGAGGCCTGGCTGAGCGAGCAGGAGCTCTTCGTGATGAACGAGGACAAGGGCAAGGTGGGCGGGGGCCCCAGGCTGGGCCAGTGGTGGCCCCTCTCCCCGTCCTGTGGGCAGTGCTCTGGGCCACTCCCTGGGGATGCGCACCCCCCAGCCCAGCCTGCTGCCCGCCCCTGCAAGCACTTCACCGGGGAGGAGCAGGCCCCCTCTGGCCTGGGGAAGCTGGTTCGTGGCCAAGAGGCCTGACTCGGCCGGCCGGCCCTCCACCCCTGCCCACAGGACGAGCAGAGCACTCTGCAGCTGCTCAAGAAGCACCTGATGATGGAGCAGACGGTGGAGAACTACGCGGAGACCATCGCCCAGCTCTCGCGGCAGTGCCGGGCGCTCCTGGAGCTGGGGCACCCCGACAGGTGGGCGAGCCCCGCTGCCTTCCCGCCCCCCCGCCCTGCTCCCACTGGCCCTCCACCCACTGACCAGGCCCTGTCCTCGCCAGCGAGCAGATCAGCCGGCGGCAGTCGCAGGTCGACCGGCTGTACGTGTCCCTGAAGGACCTGGTGGAGGAGCACAAGGCCCAGCTGGAGCAGCAGTACTGGCTCTACCAGCTCAGCCGCGAGGTGGATGAGCTGGAGCACTGGATCGCCGAGAAGGAGGTGGTGGCTGGATCGCCGGAGCTGGGCCAGGACTACGAGCACGTGACGGTGCGTGGGGACGGGTGGCCCGGGAAGGGGACGCCAGCGTGGCATGATAGGCCTGTGGTGGCTGTGGCAGGGCTCGCCACGCCTGCCACGTCCCTGCAGAGGATCCCGGGCAACACCCCCGGGCCTGGGCCCTGGCTGCGTGGACTGTTGCTGGCGAGGAGGGGGTGCTCTGCACAGGCCCGGGGTGCTCTCTTCTTGGCAAGCAGGCACGTCAGAAGGGTGCCCGGGCAGCTGGTCCAGGCCGTGGCAGCTGTTGGCTCGGCCGCTGGAGCACGTGCAGCAAGGCCGGAATGAGGCGCAGTGCGGGGGCTTGGGACGCTCGGGCGGAGGCGGCTGGCTCTGCCAGGGCACTTGCCTTCCTGCTGGCCGGCTGGACCAGGTGGCCCTTCTCCCTGGGGCCGGCGGGTCCTGCTCGCCGCCCAACTTGGCCTCTTCCTCGTGCAGCTGCTGCAGGAGAAGTTCACCGAGTTTGCCAGCGAGACGGGCAGCCTGGGCAACGAGCGGATCTCGGCCGTCAACCAGATGGTGGATGAGCTGATCGACTACGGCCACGCCGACGCCGCCACCATCGCCGAGTGGAAGGACGGCGTGAACGAGGCCTGGGCAGACCTGCTGGAGCTGATGGAGACGCGGGCCCAGATGCTGGCCGCCTCGCACGAGCTGCACAAGTTCTTCAGTGACTGCAAGGACATCCTGGCCCAGATCGAGGAGAAGCAGCAGCGGCTGCCGGAGGTCACTGCCCGCGAGTCCAAGACCTCGGCCGGCACCCTGCAGAGGATGCTGGGCTCCTTCGAGCACGACGTCCAGGTCCTGGTGACGCAGGTGAGAGTCCCGGGGGGTGCGGCTTGGCTGGCAGCCCAGGCCCTGCTGGCCTCGTCCTGGGGCAGGTCTGGAGGGAGCGGCCCGGGGTGGAGGGGCTTCTCCCCCCAGGGCAGGGCAGGGCCCAGCTCACTTCCCCCACTGTCCGGGGCAGCCACACATCTCGGCTTCTGCTCCCCGCTGGCCCGGCAGGTGCGGCAGCTCCAGGAGGCGGCGGCCCAGCTCCGGACGGTGTACGCGGGCGAGAACGCCGAGGCCATCAGCACCAAGGAACAGGAAGTCATGCACGCCTGGAAGGAGCTCCTGAGCTCCTGTGAGGACTGCCGGCTGCAGATTACCACCACCACGGACAAGATCCGCTTCACCAGTATGGTGCGCGACCTCGTCTCCTGGATGGACACCGTCATCTGCCAGGTCGGCACCGGCGAGAAGCCCAGGTAATGTGGGGTGCAGCTCTGCCTGTCTCAGGGTCTGCCGTCCGCTGGCTTCGCCACTCGGCTCCCTGCCCGGGGTGTCTGCCGAGGCAGCCTGCGTGCTCGGGCCGGGCTTTCGGGGCGGGGGGGGGAATGCGAGCAGCCCTGCCCCGTGTGACTCCTGCGTGCCCCCTGCCAAGGCGCCCTCTCCAGCCCGCGGGTTTCCGACAAGGCCCTCCCGGACCCCCGGCCCTGAGGCCGTGGCACGCAGCGCCTTCCCGCATGGGTCCTGGGCTCGCCCCGCCAGCTAAAGGGGCTGTGTGGGGACCCGGCACGAGCTGCTGCCAGGCAGAGGAGGCAACCCCGGGCCGGCCCTGCCGCGGGCTGGGCCGGCGTGTGGACGCGGGCTGTCGCCTGGCCTGCCGGCTCCCCCGCGGCCCTGGGAGAGGAAAGCCATGCACACAGCGCCGCGTGCCCCCGCCTCACGCGGGATGCCCCCCGCCGTTCCCTGCAGGGACGTGTCCACCGTGGGAGTGCTGATGAACTACCACCAGGGCCTGAAGGCCGAGATCGAGGCCCGCAGCAAGAGCGTGGCCGCCTGCGTGGAGCTGGGCAAGGCGCTGGTGCTGAACAAGAGCCCCGCCTCCGAGGAGGTGAGCCCCCGGCCGGCTCTGCGGCTTCTGCGGGCCCGGAGGGGGCTGCTGGGGCAAGGCAGGGGGCCGCTGACCCTCCTCCTGCCCCCCAGAGAAGCATCGCGGTGGGCGAGTGGCCCGCAGGTGCTGGCCCCCTGAGGGCCCCTTCCGGCCCACACTCCCTCCCAGCAGGACACCTGTTTCCGCTGCAGATCAAGCTTCACCTGGAGAAGCTGATGGCCAAGAAGAAAGAGATGACGGACAAGTGGGACCAGCGCTGGCAGTGGCTGCAGCAGAGTGAGTGCAGCCGCTCCCCCGCCCGGGCAGCTGCGGGCAGGGGGCGGCCCTGCCGGGTCCAGCGTCCCCCCAGCGGCAGCCGCGGGCAGGAGGCTGGCGGAGCAGGAGGGGCCGGGCTTCCGCCCCCCACACATCCCTGCTCGGCCGCCAGCTGGGTGCAGAGGGAGGACCGGCCACGGGGCGCCCTGGGCCACGCGGGCTCAGGGTCTCTCTTCCGGCAGTGCTGGAGGTTCACCAGTTCGCGCAGGAGGCCGTGGTGGCCGACGCCTGGCTCACCGCGCAGGAGCCGCTGCTGAAGAGCCAGGAGCTGGGCAACAGCGTGGACGAGGTGGAGCAGCTGATTCGGCGCCACGAGGCCTTCCGCAAGGCGGCAGCCGCCTGGGAGGAGCGCTTCAGCTCCCTGCGGCGCCTGACCACGGTGCGCGCCCCAGCCGCCGGGGGGAGGGTGGCGCCGCGGGGCATCCCCGGGTCGGGCCCCTTCGGGAGGGCCGTTCTGGCTGACGGGCGGCGGAACCGCCCCGTGCCCTGCACTGTCTCCCACAGATCGAGAAGCTGAAGGCCGAGCAGAGCAAGCAGCCGCCCACCCCGCTGCTGGGCCGGAAGGTCTTTGCCGACCCCGCTGAGCTGAGCAGCGAGGCCTCCCCGCTCTCGCGCCAGCCGCCGCACGACAGGGGCCCCCTGCGGGGCCGGGCGGAGGGCCCGCCACTCCTCAGCGGAGCCCGGCCGGGGCCCCTGGAGCGGGCTGAGGCCAGGGTGGCCTACGTGCGCCAGGAGCTGAAGCCCGAGCGGCTGCAGCCCAAGATCGACCGCCTGCAGGAGGGCCCGGTGGCCGGGGCCGCGGCCAGGGGCCAGGAGAAGGCGGGCGAGGCCAAGGCGGCTGTGGAGGAGGCGGGCCGGGCTGAGACGGCCGGGGCCCCTGCAGAGCAGGCGGATGTCAAGGGGGGCCGGACGGAGGCGCGTGCCGAGCGGCACCGGGAGCGCTATGAGCGCCGGCTGGAGCGGCAGGAGGCCAGCGAGCACGAGGCCCCCCGGCAGGAGCAGCCTGAGCGCCGGCGGGAGAGGCGGGAGCGCCGGCTGGAGCGCCAGGAGTCCAGCGAGCAGGACACCCCCCGGCGGGAGAGGCACGAGCGCCGGCTGGAGCGCCAGGAGTCCAGCGAGCCCGAGGCGCCACGCAATGACGCCAAGGGGGGCGGGTGAGTGCGCCGGCCTCAGAGGAGGGGGGCAGGGGAGGCCCCGGTGCCCCTGGGACACTGGCCGGGCCGCTGACCCCGCCTGCCCTCCAGGAGGCTGGCAAAAGGCCTTTGAACCCGGGCCGGGCGGGTTTCCACTCCGACAGGGGTCTGTGGACGCGTGTCCTGCAGCGGAATAGGCGTGCTGCGAGCCTCAGTGCTGGCTCCGGGCCAAGCGGTGCCCGGGTGCGGCAGTGGGCTCCACAGGGGTCACCCGGCCGGTGGGCCTTGCCTGCCCGCCAGACGGGGCTGCAGCCTCTCCATCGCACCCGTGTGGCCCGGACGCAGGTGAGCGCAGCCACGCCGTACCTGGGGTGGGAGGTGGCGTGTGCCCATGAGGGCCACTGGCATGTCTAGTCCCCCCCACCCCGCAGACTCCTCTCGTCCTGCTTGAGAAGCACCCGGCTGTGCCCCCCCCCCGCATCACGTGGCAGGGAGTCCCGCGGCTGAGCTATGCACTGCCCGAAGGGGGACTTGCGTCGTCGCCCCGACTCTCGGCTGAGCTGCAGGGCACGGCCCCGCCGTGTTCGGCCATCACTGGAGGGGGGAGCCTCCCCTGCGGGCACCTTCTCGCCCCAGCACCTGTCGTGCCGCCTCAGCCCCCTCCTCCCCCCGGCCAGCGAGCGGCTCTGCCAAATGGCCAGCTGAGGCGAGCCTGCAAGTGGTGCAACGGGGGGGGGGGCGGGGGCATCCACACCTGCCTGCCTCTGGCCAGCCCCCCGCTGCCCTCCTGAGCCCCCCTCTTGTGGCCCACAGCAAGGCCACCCTGGCGGACATCGTGGAGCAGCTCCAGGAGAAGGAGTCCGTGGCACCGGCGCACGCCGCAGCGCTGCCCTCTTCCACGGTGAGTCCCCCACCCGCGCCCCTGTGCCTGGTCTCCCCCCCCCCCCCGGTGGAGGCCTTGGAATGGACTGCGGACCCAGAACTGGACTGCACGGCGCAAGCTGCCGGGCCCTGGAAGCCGCGGCGTGTGTGGGTGGGGGAAGCGCTTCTTGTCTGGGGCGGGGCGGAGATGGGGTCGGGCCCGGGCGCTTGCTGGGGGGCACACCCTCCATTGCTCCTGCCTGGACGTCCAACGCGGGGCCCGTTCCCGAGAGGGGCGGCCTGTGCCGCGGCCTCCCCCGCCTGCCGTGGCCGTGGCGCGCCGTAACGCCCCTCTGCCTGCAGCCGCACGAGAGGGAGTCCCCGGCCCGCCTGCCCAACGGCCTCGACAGGCTGCCGGAGCGGACGCCGCGCCCCGACAGGCCCCGCGCCCGAGACAGACCGAAGCCCCGGCGGAGGCCCCGGCCCCGGGACCCCAACGCCCCGCCGGGGGACGCCCGCCGCTCCCGCTCCGCCCCTGCACAGAGCAGCGCCCCCCCCGCCGCCGCCCCCCACGCACACCGTCCAGCAGGAGGGCTTCCTTCTGCGCAAGCTCGAGCTGGAGGGGCCGAACAAGAAGGCCTCCAACAGGTGAGCCGAGCGCCGGCCGTGCCGTGCGCCCCCTGGCCGCGAGCAGGCCCAGGCCCACCCAGGGCGAAGGAAGCGCCTCCCCCGGCCCGGCCTCCTGCTCCTTGCAGAGCCCGCAGGCCCGGCCGGGGGAGCTGCTTGGCCCCGAGGGGCACGGCTGGCCCGCCAAGGGTGCAGCCAGGGGCCGGGGCTCTGCGGGGGCTGCTCTCTGTGCCCCGCATCCATGGGCAAGGGCACAACCGGGGGCGTCACGCAGAAGCCCCTCTTCTGGGGAGCGGCGGCAGAGCGAGGCTGCAGGCGTACCGCCCAGGGCCTCGAACGGCTCCCCTTCGCCGCAGCCCTTCCGCTCGGCTCCTCCTCTGGCGTGCAGGGTCTGCCCTGGGCCTCCCGGGCACAGATAGATCCGGGGGAGCAGCGGGGCTGGGGGTGGGCGGGCTGCCCTTTCGGGGGCGCCCCCTCTGCTCAGCTGCGCCTGGGTGGTCTGTGAGGAAGGAGGGAAGGAGCGGGAGGGCGCAAGACCAGAGCGGCAGCGGGCAGAGGTCGCGGGGGAGGGGGGGGCCGCTCCACGGAAACTGCCCCCGCAGCCTCGCCACGGCAGTGCCACGCGGAGGGTCATCATGCCGCCCTTCGGCCCCCTTTCCCGTGCTCTCCCACCCTCCGAAGAGGAGACCTTCAGAGCCCCCGGGCTGCAGAGGCTCCCCTGTAAAACCAGGGGGAGCCCTCTGACCCGGCGCTGCTCCCCCCCCCCACCGCACTAGGTCCTGGATCAACCTCTACTGTGTCCTGGACAAAGGGGAGCTGGGCTTCTACAAGGATTCCAAGGGCCGGGAGTCCGGGAGCACGCACAACAACGAGCCCCTGCTGAGCCTGCACAGCGCCACGGGCGAGGTGGCCAGTGACTACAAGAAGAAGAAGAACGTGCTCAAGATCAGGTGTGGGGCGGGACCGGGCGAGCCGGCGGGCGGCACTCGGGGGCCCGACAGTGCACAGCCCGGCCCCTCCCAGCACGGGCACACAGCTGCCTCGCCAGCCAGGGCTCCGGCCCGGGGGGTGGCTGGCGAGGGGAGGCCTCCCCTGCTTGGATGGGGCCTCTCCACTTCCCCTCCGGCTGAGTCCCTGCCTGGGGGGCTGGGGCCCCCCTCCTGAAGCCAGCGGGAATGTGGGGGGATGGGAACGGGGCCGGCAAGCCGAGCCAGCCTCTCGCGCTGACAGGGGGCTCTCTGGCAGGACCCGCGACGGGGGCGAGTTCCTACTCCAAGCCAAGGACGAGGTGAGCTCCCCCTCCCCTCCCCTCCCCTCCCCTCCCCGGGGCAGAGGGGTGCTGCGGGCCGCCCTGGCGGACTGGGCTCTGCTGAGCCCCTGCTCACTTCCCGCAGGAGGAGATGAAGTCCTGGCTGGACGCGATTTCCGCCTCCATCCTGGAGCACGCCGAGATCGCCCGGTGGGGCCAGGCCCTGCTCACCACGTCCTCCACAGACGAGGGCAACCCCAAGCGGGAGGCTGACCGCAGGGCCAGCACCTCCGGCCGGAAGAAGTGAGGTGGCCGCCTTGCCGGCCAGAGGCGTCCCGGCCAGCAGCTCTGTGCCCGCAGGCCCCGACCGGGCCAGACCGGGCAGCACTGCGGGGGCAGGAGGCAGGCTTGGGGCAGGACGCGAGGCCCCGATGCTGCGGAGACTGGAGGGGGCAGAGGTGCAGCTCCCCCCCAGCCTTCAGGACTGGCGCCCGCACGAACTGTCTGACCGGGGTGGGTGACCAGGACTGCCCCCGCCTCCGGAGGGACGGGTCGGCTTGGAGCGTGGGCTGCCCCTCCGCTGCCTCTGCGGCTGCTGCCGGGAGGGCGAAGAGGATCCCGGCGAGTCAGCAGGGCACTCCACTCCTTTTGTGTGGTGCCCGGCGCCCGCAGGCTCCCACACCGGCCACGTTTCGAGCTTAGCCGCCGGCCTCGCACCTTCATCTGCGCTGCAGCAGCTTCAAGAAGCTGAGCCAACAGACTCATCACTCGCCCTTCTGTGGCCCCCGGCAAGCAGCTCTCCTCGTGAGCAGGCCCCATCCGCCAAGCCAAGCGGGCCCTGCAGGGAGGTGCTCTGGAGGGGGTCACCAACGGAGGGGGGGTCTGCTTTCTCTGGGAAGGCTGAGGGAGCTGCGGGGAGCTCTGCTGGGCGCCCCTTCTCTCCAGCTTCGTGTCTTCCGGTCAGCTGCAGAGCCCCATGACATGGTGCTGCCACGGGCGCAAACGGCTCCGTGGGCAGACTGCATGCGTGCATGCTCACGTGCCGGGGACACCCTCCTGGGCACCGCTCCGGCGCCTCCTCTGCGTGTGCCCCTTCGGCATCTGCATTGGCACTTCAGGCATGTTGTTCGACACAATGTGTTGCTCAGAAGCAAAGGACTGCACGCACACACACACGCACACCAACCAACCATGTGCCGGAAGGAAGAGGAGGGTCCGCTCTGGCATGTGCAGGGGAGTGCCAGCCCTGCCCGCCCACTCAGTCTGCATCCAGTCCTACTGCTGCCGCCTTCGTTTGCGGTCACCGCCTCCCCCCCCCCCGATCCGGCTCCCCCGGAAGCCCTGGTGCAGCGCCCCGGAGCTCTTCCGGGGGACTCTCTCCAGAACGGATCCAGAGTGTGGGGAGGGGATGCCACTGGGAAGGCCATGTGCTTGCAGCCCTCCGGAGCATTGGGCAGCATCGTGAAGTGGGAGGGGGGCCTGCCGCCCCTCTGCCCCTCGGGGCCGGAGGCTGTGCCGCTTCGGGGCTCCTAAGGTGCCTGCCCGCCCGGCCGGGACCACTCCTGGGCGTGGGAGCCAAAGTCGCCGGGCAGCACGAGGGCACGGAGAGGCCGGGCCACCACTTTGCCCCCCTTAACAAGCCATACGCCCCCACCGCTTCTGTTCCTCGGGAGGGCCCCCCCGGGGACAGCACAGAGATGTATTTTTATGCAATAAAGTGGCAGGGGAGCATGAGGAGGACGGTGGCGGGGCGATGGCAGAGCAGGGAGCTGCGCCTGGAGGAATGGCCGGAGGGCAGGCCCCAGTCCAGCGGTCCGCTGGGGGGGCTTGGTGGCCACAGCCTGTCTGCAGAGCACAGCCGTGTCCCGTCTAAAGGGCTGTGCTGGCAGCGTTGCGCACCACCACCCCGTGCGCCACCCGACGGGTCGGTGCTGCGCCCACTGTGTGCGTGTGGAGGGGGGGCGGTTCTGGAGGCTGCCCTCGTGCAGGCAGAGGCAGGACTGTCCCCAGAGCAATCCTGCTCCTGCGGAAGGGCGGGCGCCTCGGAGCCGCGCTTGGTGCCCTGGTCCCCAGCTCTTACCACGCATGGCACAGAGGAACCGGTGCAGCGTCTGCTCCTGAAACCGGGCACCATTCGAGCGAGTCTTCCAGCCACGGCCAACTGATGCTCGAGACACGCAGGGTGGGTCAGTTTCGAGCCTCCCTTTCCTTGTACAGCAAAAGGACTCGCTCAGAGCTGACTGGCGCCCTCACCGAACGGAACGGATGCGGTCTTTTGAGACGCAGCTTTGCAGTCGCGTGGTTAGGCCTCAAGGGCAAGGGTTGGGCTCGTGCACCGCATGTGGTGTGGCCACAAATTTCAGGCTCAGCAGCTGTACTTCGTGTTGTGCTCCCATCCACCAGATGCTGGTGCATATGTATATAAACATGAACTACAGAACTGCAAACATAACTAAGCTTGAGGATTTTTTCAAAAAACAAGAATCTACTCTTTGGTTATCAGTGCAAGAGATCCAAGCTGTATTTGTGGCCTGGCTGATTTCCCCCCAGAGCTGCTCTCAGCCCCCCGATTCATGCAGCTGACCCCCAGCCCATTGCCCAGCAGCTGGCGTGATCGGCCAGCGGGCCACACGAGCCGAGGCCCGAGGGGGCGCAGAGCAGCCCTCGCTCCTCAGGCAGGCATGCCCGGGGCAGCTTCTTGCGACAGTGCTGTGTCCGTGTGGGACTGAGCCAGATCCAGCCTCCCTCAGACTAGGCAGTGTCCGCGGTGCTCCTGCTGGAGCCATGGCAATGTCACTCATCAACGCTTCTGCCCTGCGTCCCTCATTGTTCAGAAGCCTGTAAAATATTGTACTTGCTTTAAATACTTTTTTTTGGTCTTGTATAGAAAAAGAACCACAAAAGTTGGAGGATTTGGGGTTGTGTTCACTTTTTGTTTGGCTGTAAATCTTTCTGAAGATCTGTGTTTTTCAAACAGAGACCAGTTTGTAAAGATTTTAGATTTTGGTTGCATGAGATCAAGAGATGGGGCCCTCCTGCCTGCAGGCCTCTGATGAGAGTTCGGCCACGTCCGCATACTGCCCCAAGTCCAGTGTCCCAAGAAGGCGCTCGCTCCCCGCAGCACACGCCACGCCTAGGCGGCCTGCAGCTGAGAGCGGCTGTGTACAGACCGGTGCATCTCCAGCTGGACCAAAGCGACCGGGTCCTCCTTCCTCTCGCAGCACAGGCGCTGCATGCCCCTTGGCCGAGCGGAGCATAAGCTGCACTTCTGCAGTGCCCAGTAGAGAGGTGCAAAGTGGCGCTAGGCCCTGGTCGCAACCAAGCCCTTTGCCAGAAATGGGATGCGAGTTCTTGGTGTGCCTCCAAGCATATGTCAGGCAGAGAAAGCCACCCGTTCAAACTTGCTCCCAAGCTCCGGGTGCCCCCTCGCTGTTCCGTCCTGTGTTGGTGCCGTACACAGCTGGGGCGCCCTGTGGCCCTCCTCACCAAGGGAGTGAGTGGGCCCGGGCCCGGGCAGCATCAAGGGCTCCCTGGGTCTACCCGCACAGCTGCTCTGGTGCTCCCCGTGGGTGTCCACCTGGAGGCCTTTTTCCAACCGCACGTGCCAGTGCCATGCGCAGGTTGAATAGGTCCAGAGGGCCCGTTCTTGCTGACCTGTCAAGCCCACCGGGGAAGCCCCCCACCAAACAGGCTCACTCTGAGAATAAAGTGGGGAGGGAGGCTTCCGCAAGCTCAGCCCTGGGTGGCAAAGACATGTCAAGGAGGGCCAAGCAGGGGCTGGGAGGGGGTCCGCCCAGGCACAGCTCCAGGCAGGAGAACTGCACTCTTGTGCCAGCAGGGCTTCCCGTCTCTTCTGCGAAGCAAGTTGCGTCAGTGTGAGGAAGGCCCAGCTGCCCCTGGGCCAGAGCAGGGCTCATTTTGCCTGAGCAGCATCCTGATTCCAAGAGTGGAAAACTGCCAGGGCCAGGAAGGTGGCAGTCCAGCCGGACCTAAGGGCTACTCTGCTTTGCAGCCAGACATTCCATGGGGCAGTTCGCCTCCCCATCAAAATGAGCCTGCCTCTGGCCAGACACGATGGTGATGACCTCCTGCTTTGCTCACCTGCGGCTACTGGCACTGGAGCAAGTCCACCCTGGGCTGCACAGCTCAGCCCCCCCCGCCCCCCCGCCTCCCTGCACTGCTGCCGCCCAGCGTTTGCCAGAAACATTCGTTCAGCCGATCACTGGCATTACAAACCAAGACTGGAAGACTTGGAAAGTTCTCACCTGTCATTGGCGTCATTTGCCTTTTTGGCTGCCCACAAAGGAGGCCGTTTTACTTCCTTGGGCTTTGCCCCAACTTCTGGAGGGAGCACCTGGCTGTGGCCATCCTATTTGGACTCAAGAGAACTGGAAGCTGCTTTATACTGAGTGGGGCCTTTTGCTCCCTCTGGCCCCGTACGGTGGGCACAGGCTGGCAGCAGCAGCTCCCCGGGGTTCCAGACTGGGATTTCCCCAGCCCTGGATTTTCCCTTGCAGGGGATGGAAGCAGGGCCCTCCTTCATGCAAAGCAGGGACTTGGCCACTCAGCCCCCTCCCCTCTCCAAAGGGCTGAGTCACAGGCAGAAGCTGCCCTCTTCTTACTTTGGGCCAAGGGTCCCTGGGGGAGGGCACGGCAGCATCCCAGCAGGGTCTTCTTGTGATTGTTCTTCCCGCCAAAGCTGCGGTAAGTTTTGAAAGATGCTTCAGGCACTCACTGGGGAAGCGGCATAAAAGATAGCTTACAATCACAAGTAAAGCTTTATTAAATAATAGATGCACACGAAAGCACATTAAAAATACAGGGGCTGCTGAAGTTTCTGAGCAGTTTTTAAAGGCAGCCTCACATAAAGGGGGTTTCAGCAGCCCAAACAGCATATACCGAAATGAGACGCCTCCAGGAAAGCATGCAGAGGGTCAGGTAGACACTGTTGTGCCCACGCACTGCCACTGGTCACTCAGGAGGGCAAGCCCATTCAGCGCCAGCTGATCCCCCACTTCCTGCTCTGTCTTTTGACTCAGCACTCTATCTGGGCAGCGCTTCAGCTTGTTTGTCTGCATTCAAGCTGTTAAGGACAAGTTCTGATTTAAACCCAGAGTAATTTCTTGGCAGAAGATGGGGCTGGGTGTCAGCAGCATGCAGGTGGCACTGTGCCCCAAGCGCCAGGACACAGCAGCTTGGGGACACCGCAGGCACCAGGCAGGAATCCCCCTGCAACGCCTCCGGCGTGCAAGGAGGGCCGCAGCCGCCCGCAGCGCCGCCAGTCCAACTCAGGCCGGCTCTTCGGGAGGTTAGCTTGGCTGGCGGTTCACGGAGCTGCCAAGGGGCGAGCTGAGGCGAAGAAGGGGCGCACGCCGCCCGGGCCTGGCGCGGGTCGTGCCCACGGCGGCAGCGGCGCTCTCTGCCCCACAGCCAGGCCCGAATTCCGGCTGGGACAGAGCTAGACGCCCGGCTCCCCGCGCTGCCGCCCGCTGGCCAAGAGGCGCCTCCCGCCACCAGCCGCCACGGGAGCGCCTTCGCTCGCCCCCCGCTTGCGCAGCAGCAGGCCCCCGCCCTGCCGGGCCCGGGCCCGGGCCCGGCCGCGGCCGCTCGGGGGCTCGGCGGAAGGGGAGGCGGCGGCGCGGGCCCGCGCGGCGGCCGGACTCTCGCGCGGCGCTCCTTCCGATTAGCCAAGCCGCACCAATGGGAATGGGGCGCGGGCGGGCCTTCGCGAGCCGTGGCCAATTAGGGCAAGGGGAGAGGCAACCGCGCCCTCGCGGGTTGTTTACTCGAGCGGGACTCAGCCCCGGAAATCCCACCAATGGGAGAGTGGCCGCCCAAAAGCCAATGGAAAGAACGAATAGGCGGGACTTCAGCGTCGCCTGGAGTTGGCGGTAAGGCCCTTCGACCAATGGGTTCCCAGGGAGGGCGGGGCCTTATGTATCCAGCCAATAGGCCAAGGTCTCTCTTCGGCCCCGCGCCCAATGGCGTCACCACGCAGGCGGGGCCGTCTAAGGCGGCGAAGATGCGGAAGTCCGCCGGGGATGGCGGCGGCGGCGGCGGCGGCGGGGCCTGGAGCCGGAGCCGAGCTCGTGCAGCTGAACGTGGGCGGCCGCAGGCGAGTGGGCCGCCGCCTCCCTCGGCGCGGGGCTGGGCCGGGCCGGGCCCCTGGCGCCGCCCTCGCTCAGCGCCGCCCCTCTCCCTCCTCTCCCCGTGCAGGTTCAGCACCTCCCGCCAGACGCTCACCTGGATCCCGGACTCCTTCTTCTCCAGGTGCGCGGCCGGGGCGGGTCCGCGTCCTCAGGGCGCCGGCGGCGTGCACGGGGGCGGGCAGGCGGGCAGGCGGGTAGGCGGGCCGGCCTTAGCCCCGAGCTCACCGCCCTCCGTTCGCTTCCAGCCTCCTCAGCGGGCGGATCTCCACCCTGAAGGACGACACAGGCGCGGTGAGTGCCTCGCGCTTCCCCACTTTGCTTGCGGGACCCCGCCGAGGGCAGCAAGGCAGCATCGGCACGGCCTGGGCGAGGGGGCGGTCGAGAGGCTTGCGCGGCTGTGCTCCGCTGCCCCAGTCCCGGCGGTTTCAGGAGCAGAAGTAGCGCCGGGCTACCCCAGGTCTTTCTCCTCTTTTCTTCTTCTTCTTTTTGTCCAGATCTTCATTGACCGAGATCCAGATGCCTTTGCCCCGATCCTAAATTTCTTGCGGACAAAAGAACTCGATGTCCGGTGCAGTGCAGAGACCCCAGCCATCCCCCTGGGCTAGAGGTTGGGCAAGGGTCCACCTCCGGTCTGCGCCTTGACGCCTTTCAGCAGCCGTGGGGTGGAAGGGTGCTCAGGGAGGGTTTGGACATTCCTTGCTTTTGTGTTTCTAGGAAGACCAACCTGTCGCTGCTCCTGCATGAAGCCCAGTTCTATGGAATCACTCCGCTTGGTACGTGGGGGTCAGGCCTGTGGGGAGCCAGTGCCCCTGCGACCCGGCTATGGTGCGGCAGTTTTTGTCCCACGCTGCCCTCTGGTTTTCCGCCAGGCGGGGTGAGTGCCCTGGTTCGCCCCTGGGGTGGGTGGTTTCATGCTTTGTTTTTCCTCCCCAGTGCGCCGCCTGCAGCTGCAGCAGGAGCTGGAGCAGTCCTCTTGCGGGTGTGTCCTCTTCAGTGGCTATTTGCCAGCGCCAGGTAGGTGCTGGGTAGAGGCTGGGAAGGGGCCTGACTCGGCTGGCCAGTGAGCTGGGCAGGCATGGGGCAGAGAAGACATGGGGGAGGGCGCTGTGGCTGCCGCCCAGCTGCCCTGTTGCACACGGCCTGCTCTCCTCCGCCTTGCAGTGTTCCCTGCCAAGCGCTGGAACCGGCACAGCGTCGCAGGAGCACAGCTGGCTGTCCGGCCGGGAAGCCTTGGGGAGCGGGCCCTCGTGCGCCGGAGCAACACCATGCCCCCCAGCCTTGGAAACGCTGGGCTTCCAGGGCGCCTGCTGGAGGAGCGGGGCTCGGCAGGTGTGTGGTTGGCAGGGCGGGATGCGGTCATGGTTGCCAGGCGGGGGTGCTGGAGCCAAGGGCTCGGACGCTGCGAGTTAGAGAATGGGTCGACGCGCCTCTCCTCCTAGGCGTGGGCCCTTCAGAGCAGAGCAAGCGCCTCCGCCCTAGATTCAGTTCAGACTGTTTCTCCTCGGTCAGATTGTTGTCTGCCGCAGGCGGGCAGGCAGGCAGGCAAAGAGGCACCTCTAGAGCAAGTAGCAGATGATGGTGAAGCGAAGCAGAGCTGGGTGTCATCGGCCTGTCGATAACGCCTCGTGCCATTCCTCTGGGCGATCTCACCCAGCAGCTTCGAACAGATGTTAAATAGCGGTGGAGGCAGAGTGGGGCCCTGTGGGACTTCGCAAGCCAGCTGCTTCTTAGAGGAGCAACAGACTCCAAGCGCCACCGCCTGGAGCCGACTTCAGCAGTCGGAGTGGAGCTGTGCCTCCAATTTTCCACTCCTTCAGCTCCAGAAGAATGCTAAGGTCAACAGTATTGAAAGCTGCTGAAAGATTGCACAGGACCATCGGGGGCACACTCCGTGTAACAGTTCTGAATTGCAGATCCTCCACTGGAGAGACCAAAGTAGTCTTAGCTTCGTATCTCACTCTGAAGCCAGTTTGAAATGGTCCAGAAAGTCAGTATCACTCAGGACTGCCCGGAGCTGGACAGACACTGCCTTTTCAATCATGTTGTAATGAAATTGTATATTTGAGGTTGTTCAAGAGTTGTTAAGGTCCAGAGAGTTCACGTTCAGTTTCTTAAAGAGAGGCCATATAAAAATTTCCTCCAGGTGGGCCGGAACCTCCTCTGGAGGAGGAGGAGGCAATACTGGCCCGCTCACTGTCTCCACCCTGTGGACGACCTGCCATCTTCCCTTGTCCTGCAGGAGCTCCAGGTGAGCCGGCTATGGTGCGGCTTCTCTGTGGCCACCACAACTGGATCGCTGTGGCCTACGCGCAGTTTCTTGTCTGCTACAGGTCAGTGGCAGCTCGGGGCTCCCCAGCCGGGTGCCGCCGTCCGCCCTGCAGGAGCCCCTGGGCGCGCCGTGGCTGAGCGAGCTGCTGCTCAGGGCCTGCCTGGCCGCTTTCTCTGCTGCGCAGGATGAAGGAGACGTCCGGCTGGCAGCTGGCCTTCTGCAGTCCCCGGCTGGACTGGGTCATCGAGCAGGTGGCCCTGAATGCCCGGGTGCTCGGCGGCTCCCTGGGGGACAGCGACAAGATGGTGGCCGCCGCGTCCTGCAACGAGATCCTGCTCTGGGCACTGCAGCCTGATGGGAACGGCAGTGAGATCGGTGAGGACTGGTGAGCTCAGCAGAGCCCCGCTGTGGAGCGGCCCCCGAGTTGACGGCCATGGCCGAGGCCGCTGGTCCAGCCTCGTGCACCGGGAAGCCCCTGGCAGCTGCTGTGGCCCAGGACTGGGTGACATCTGAGGAGCCTGCTGGCCCCTGCTGATGGGCTCCGCTGCATGTTGGAGGCTCCATGGGGCACAGCAGCCCCTTTCCCCAGCACTGTTGCTTCCAGATGGGCGTTGGCCCGAGCCAGGCCAGCTCTCCCCGTGCAGGCAGCTGGCTTGCCATTTGGGGACAGAGCCCCGAGCTAGGGTTGGGCCTCGGCCTGGTCCAGCCCAGACCTCCGACGTTCTGGTGCTCTGCCCCTCCGCTAGGTGTGTTCCACCTGGGAGTCCCCGTGGAGGGCCTGTTCTTTGTGGGCAGCCAGCTCATCGCCACCAGCCACACAGGCAAGATAGGAGTCTGGAACGCGGTCACCAAGCACTGGCAGGTGCAGAGCGCTGGCGGCTTGGCCCCTTGCCCGGGTGGGTGGGAGTAGGTCCTGCTCTCGGGAGCCGGCTGGCAGCCCCTGGCCCGGGCTGAGGCGGCAGCGCTGCTGCGGTGCTGGGGGAGCGGTGGGGCCCAGACTGGCTGCTTTCGCGCCCCAGCCCATGCCAGCAGCGTCCCTTCTGTCTTCTTTGCCACGGCTGTGATTTGGGCAGATCCTGGGGGGCCTTCTGAGGGGCGGGTTGGGGGCCTCCTTCCATGCTTTCAGGGCAGGCGTTGGGACCTCCTGCCTCAGCTCGGGCACTTCTCCAGCCTCCCCGCTTCCCCGCAGACTCAGGACATGGCCCCGATCAGCAGCCACGATGCGGCAGGCTCCTTCCTGCTCCTGGGGTGCAACAATGGCTCCATCTACTATGTGGGTGAGTGAGGGCTGCTCGGGGGGGGGGGGGAGCCGGCTGGCCGAGGCAGCATGGCGCTGAGGCCGGGTCAGCATCTGGGGCCAGAGGCGGTTGCCTGGCTGTGACTTGGCGCTCAGCTCTCTCGGCTCTCCCCACAGATGTGCAGAAGTTCCCTCTGCGCATGAAAGACAATGACCTTCTGGTGACCGAGCTGTACCGCGACCCCTCCGAGGACGCCATCACCGCCCTCAGCGTCTACCTCACGCCCAAGAGCAGTGAAGTATCCCCGCCCCCCTCCCAAGCCGGGCTCGGGGCAGGCATTCTGGGCTCTCCTCCCGGCCAGGCCGTGCCGCTGCACCCCGGAGAGGGGAACTGGCCCTGGGTGCCTGTGCCCCGCCCTGCTCCCCAGCCGGGTGCTTGAGCCCCCGGGCTGCTCAGCCCCTCTGCTCTTTCCAAGCTGGCCCACGCCAGGAAACCCTCCGCCCCTCTTGGCCCGGCGCTCCCTGGGCCTGGCTCTGCTTGTGGGGTGCGGCTCGCCTCCTGCCGCAGGAGCCCCACGCAGAGGCTGCTTTTGTGCGCAGGCGACAGCGGCAACTGGATCGAGATCGCCTACGGCACCAGCTCCGGGATGGTGCGGGTGATCGTCCAGCACCCGGAGACAGTGGGCTCTGGGCCGCAGCTCTTCCAGGCCTTCGCCGTCCACCGCAGCCCCGTCACCCGGGTGATGCTCTCCGAGAGGCACCTTATCTCAGGTATGGGGCGGGGCCGCCTGCCGGGAGGCTGCAGAGGCTCACGGGCGTGGACGGAGTGCCTCCCGGGCTGCCCTCAGCCACGCCTGTGCTCTGCAGTCTGTGCCGACAACAACCACGTCCGCACGTGGACGGTGACCCGGTTCCGCGGGATGATCTCCACGCAGCCGGGCTCCACGCCGCTCGCCTCCTTCAAGATCTTGGCACTGGAGTCTGTGGATGGGTGCGGGGGCTGCAGCGCCGGCACAGACATAGGTAGGTGTGGGGGTGGGGGGGAGGGGCTGCCTGCCAGGCCGCCAGCCTCTGATTCTGCCTGCCCTGCAGGCCCCTTCGGCGAGCGGGATGACCAGCAGGTCTTCCTCCAGAAGGTGGTGCCGGACGCCAGCAAGCTCTTCGTGCGCCTGTCCTCCACGGGCAAGAGGTGGGTCTGCGGCGGCACTGCCGCCACCGTGTGGCAGGCTGGACCGTGCCCCCTGGTGCTAGGCTGCAGGCTGGACCGTGCCCCTCCCCGGCGGGGGTCCTGCTGCTCTGGGGACGGGCACGCGGCCATCTTCTCTCTGATAACTCCTGGCCTCTCTTCGTCCTCCACGGAAGGATCTGCGAGGTGCGCTCCGTGGACGGGGCGCCCATCACGGCCTTCACGGTGCAGGAGTGCGAGGGCTCCAGTCGCATCGGCTCCCGGCCGCGCCGCTGCCTCTTCACCGGCCACAGCAACGGCAGCGTGCAGATCTGGGACCTCACCACCGCCATGGAGATGGGGGGCCAAGCGCCTGGTACGGGGCAGCCCTGCTGGGCGGGGGCATCCCTGGGCGCTGGGGCTCACCAGACGGTGCGGCGCATCCGGCACTTCAGAGCACCTGCTCTGTGCAGACAGGCAGACGGCCGGATGCACGGGCCCCGTGCCCACGGGGGCCTTGGGCGGTTGCAGCAGGGCCTTGCCCACCCTGTAGTCCTGCAGAAGTTGTTGGAGCGCCGTGCTCGCCCGCCGTGTCCTTGGGCTGTGCTGACTGGGGCTGATGGGTGCTGCAGTTCCGTAGCCATTGCCTCCCTGCCTTAGACAACTGCAGGGCTGGCAGGAACCATTGTCAGTTTCCTCCCGCCAAGGGCAGGATCTGAACCTGGCCCAGGCCGACTCTTGCTCGGTCCTGCCTGTCCGCACTTCTGGCATGAGGCAGCCGCTGTTCCTCTCTGCTGCAGGCGCCGGCGGCCTCTCTGAGGAGGAGCTTCTGCGGGAGCTGGAGCAGTGCGACCTGGCGCTGAGCCACGGCCTGGAGGCCAGCCCCACGGGGCCTGCTGCCCCCACGAGTAGACCCTGCGCAGCTCGCACCAGGTAGACGGGCACTGTGCTGCCTCGTGGGGCAGGGGGAGCCCTGCAGGAGCGGGAGGAAGCCGCACTGGGGCTCCCCTCGGCGCCCCACGCTTCATGCCAGCTGTGTGCCAGCGGGGTGTGGCGGGGCAGGCCGCCGCCGCCTCCTCCTCCTCTAACGTGCTTGCCGTTGCCCCAGCAGCCCCCAGCTCCAGGAGGCGGACGGTGCCCGAGAGCGGCCAGCCAGGGGTGTGCAGCCCCTTCCTCGCCGCTGGAGCCGCGAGGACCTGCCCAGCTTGCAGCGAGGGGGCTGGGACGGGCGCCAGCAGGGTGGGAGGTTTGTTGAGAGGTGCCAGGAGCTGGCCCGTTCCTCGGAGCTGGCCCAGCCCGAGGGCCAGCGCAGCCCCCGCGCCCAGGAGCTGGGGGGCAGGGCCAGGCACTGCAGGCTCCCTGCTGGCGGTGCAGGCCAAGGCGCTGCCGGCCTGAGCCCGCCCTCCCCGGAGCCCGCCCTCCCGCTGGCCCTGTCCCGGCTGCGGCTCAGCGAGACCTCCTTCTGACCCCGCGGCGAGTGGCTGCCCTGCTCCGGCGGAGCCGCACTGTGGCTCCGAGCGCCAGGCGCCCCACGCCACCCCGCCGGCCCCGGCCAGCCCCTTGCACGGGGCCCTGCTTGCCACGCAGCACATGGCCCCTGGCCCCGGCCCCGGCCCCGGCGCCCTCGTGCCTCTCGCTGCAGCCCAGGAGCCTCTCAGGGATTCTGCCTCACATGGACGCAGGCTGCGGCCTTCGTAGGGGGGTGCTGGGAGGTCCTCTGCGGAGGGTCCGGATGGGGCTTCCCCCACCCCCACCCCCACCTCCTGCTGAAAAGCCAAAGCCGCCTGTGAGCAATAACAACGCGCTCTGGCCCTTCCGCGCTGCTGCAGCCCTTCCCTGAGTTGTATCCGCTTGAGACGCGATGAATAAACGTGGAAGGACCCCCCGGCTGCCGGCTGACTCTGTGGGGCTCTGGTGCAGGGGCGGGGGGCAGTGGAGGCTGGAAGCGCCATGGCCGCTGCCTGCCCTCTCTGAGGGGCTGCCGCCCAGGCCTGCGGGGCGGCGGATGAGCAGGTGGCCGCTTGGCGGCTCCGCGGCTACTGAGCTCCCTCCAGCAGGGCCGCTGTGGCATCCGGGCCGCAGGGGGCCAGGTCTGCCCTCGCGGCCCCCCCCATGCTCTGGGGCAGCCCATGCCGTCGGCCCCAGGGCTGTTGGAAGCTGTGCCTCGGCTGCTCTCCCCGGCCAGCGGAGGGCAGCCTGCAGGCGGGGCAGGGCCCTGCGGCTTCTCCCCGGTGGCCCCAGGCAGGCTCTGGGATGCACGCCAGCCCCGCCTCCTGGCACTGCGGGATCCCGGGACGCTCACTTTTTCCGGGAGAGCCGGAATCTCCTGCCTTCAGGTGTTCGCTTGCACGGGGGAGTCTCCAGGAGCATCACCTTCGGACACGGAGGCGGAGCGGGTGGGGGGACTCCAGCCCCCATGGCGCGCAGGAAGGGGGCTTGGGCACTGCTCCCCTGCCCCGCATGGCGACCCAAGGGCACAGCCTCCGCCAGGCGTTTTGTGGTGAGCGGCTGCAGTCACGGCTGGGGTGTTGCGTGGCCCCCGCTCCGGCTGTGCACAGGGGCCGTGTGTGGGGGGCTGCTGAGGGCCGGGACCCCCGCGACTGGGGTGCGCAGGCGCTGGAAGTGGGCAGCCGCCTGCAGGGACCGGGCCTGGGAAGGGCCGCCTGCCTTCTCGGAGGGTTGTTCCACACGGCCTCCCCACGGAGTGCCACTCCCCGAAGTTGGGCCGTCTGGTCTGGCTGCTCTTGTGCCATGGGCTGGTCTTGCTTGGCGGTGGTGCTGGTGCAGCTCACCCCACCCCACCCCACCCCACCGCATGCCCAGACCTGCCAGAGGGGCCTGGAGGCCCCACGGACCAGCTCTGGCCTCTCTTCCCTGCATGGGGGGCCGGCTGTGGGGTGCCGTGGGCCCCATGCTCGCAGAGCCTGACGCACAGCCCACGCCCACGGACACACCGGCTGGCTTATGTAACTGCCTGCCTGTGAGTCAGCCCGGAGGAGCATGTGGCTGCCTCCTGTGCACGCCGGACCCCCAGGCGCCCCCCCTCCCTCCCTCCCTCCCTCCTGCTCCTGCTCCTGCCGCGGCTTACGTAATTCCGGGAGGCTGCACTGCTGTCTGGGGACAGGAAGCGGGGCTGCCTCGGGGGCTGCCGGCGGCCCAGCCCGGCCTCTGGCTCAGCCCCCGGGTTGCCTGGCCGCCCCAGCCTGCCCCTGCAGCATGCGCCCCACCCTCGTTGGCCGCTGCACGTGAGAATCGGGGCCTGAGAAGGAGGAGCCTGGCTCCCTTCGGCCCTCCACCCCCAGCTCTTCCGTAGTGGGTGCTCTGCTCGTTCCAGGTTCATAACACTGAAGAATCATGCCTCTGAGCATGTGCAGAGTTTTCCCCACATGCCAGGGATTGCCTCCCAGCTCTCTCTCCTCATCTAGGAGTGGGGGGGAGGGAGAGAAGGGGGACGGAGGCTACCTAGATGGTTTTGGTCAGCCAGGGTCTGCTCGGGTGCTTGGGAGAGGAGCCCGGCCTTGTGCTTGCTGTTCCCAGCTCCAAAGCGCTGGACGAGCTGGGGCAGGCGGGCTGGGTGGGCCCCGGTCGCTGGGCCCCGGGTCTCACGGAGGGGTCCTGAGGCCGGCTGGGGTGGCCGGCCTTCCTTGGGTCGGCTGTGCCGGGCACGGGGAAAGCCACGGTGGCCGTGCTGGGAAGCGTGGGGCCTGTCCCCCACGGCCCTCCTCCCCACGCTGGCGTGGAGTACGAGCTCCATGGGCCACGCTTCCCCGGCTGCTGTTGCATCGCGAGCGGGATGCGGGGAGACCCGCCGGGCAAGGCAAGGACAGCATTTGTGCCGGAGCCCGTGCCCCTGGGGGGGTGTCGTCAGGTGCGGGTGCTGCCCCTCACCCCAAAGAAGCACCCCCAGCTCCACTGGGAGGCATCTCCAGGCCATTCGCGATGCAGGATGCAACTCCTGGAGATGGTTGCCTAGCAACAGTCTCTGGCCGATGCACAGGCGCTCAGCTGGCGAGCAGGGGTGGGGGGGCCAGGAGCCCCCGATCCGCGCTGAGGAGGCACTGCAAGGCGACGGAGCCGGCGAGGAGCCGCCTGCCTGCCGGGGCTGGGTGAGTGAGGCGGAGGGGCTGCGGGTGGCCCTGCTGGCGATGGAGACGAGGGAGGTTGTCTGCGCCGCTGCCGTTCTAGGTGCTTCCTTCGTCGCAGGTGCGGGCGGGCGGGCTGCGTGGGGGTCCAGGGAGCGGCTGCGGCCGGGGGGCCGGGCTCCAGACGTGCGCAAAGCCGGCACTGGCAACGGGCGCCGAGGCAGGCTGGCCGCACTCCCCGTGCCCACCTGCCTGCTCGCTGAGCCAGCCGCTGCCTCTCCTCCCCAGGCCAGCCGCGCTCGGAGGCAGACGAGGGGGGCGCCGGCGGCCAGAGCCATGGGCAGCTGTGGGCGCACGGCGTGTGGGAGCAGCTCCCCCGGAGAGGTCGCTGCGCAGGTACGGGGTCCACGGAGGCAAGAGCAGCGATGGGGGATGGGGCGGCGGGCATGGCGGCCCTCGAGGCGGCGCAGCGCACCCTGTTCTCACGTGGTGGGGTCTGGGCGCCACCTGCAGCATGGCGAAGTGGAGGGGCAGGCGGGAGGCTCGGGGCCCTGCTGCGTGCCTGCGCACCGGGCGCGTCTGTGGCGTGATGTGCGCCTTGCCTGTGGACACGCCACCGCTTGCAGTGCCGCTGCCGTGCGTGTGCGTGGGAGGGAGGGAGCGCTGCGTGCAAGAGGGTCGTGGGAGCAGCGGCACTTGTGGACGGGGCTAGGCATTCTCGCTCGCTCGCTCACTTGCACGCACACGCACGCAGCTCCTTGCCTAGCTGTGCAACATGCGCGCGGGTGCGAGGGGTAGCGGCCCTTCCCAGAGCCCCGAGCCGGTGGAGCAGATGTGGGCTCACCTGCCCGGCCAGCGCCCGCGGGAGCCGAGGGTGCAGCCGCGGCACTGCCAGGGGCTCGTCCGGAGCCCTGCGAAGCTGCGGGAGGGCGCCGGGCTGGGAGCCGCGTTGGCGGCTGCGCATGCAGCGGGCGTGCGCTGGCACTCGCCATAGAAGTGACGCACGCAGGCATCGGCGGGGCACTCGGTGGCTCTCGCTGCGGCCGAGGACGCCGCTCCGCTCCGCGTAGGGCCGAGGACGAGGACGCCGCTGACGGCGGGCGCTGCCGCCCTGCCCCGTGCACCTTGCCGCCTGCGCTGCCAACGAATTCGCCCTCGTTTCCAGGCGCGCGCACAGGCGGCCCCCCCTCCCCTCCCCTCCCCTCCCAGCCCCACGCTGGGGAAGCTCTTGCGGTTGAGTGGGGGGCCTTTGTGGACAGAGCTGCCCTTCACTCCCGGTATACTCAGTCCTCCTGGGCCTCCGTCATGCGTGTGCTCCCCTCACCCCTGCAAGGTTTTCCGGCTGCCAGAAGTACGCCGTAAGGGACGGGGGCCCTTCCTGTGGTGGCCCCTGGATACTGGAACCACCTGCCTAAGGGCTGCCCCCACGTCCGTCGCCCCTGCCTGCCAGCAGTCGGCCGAGCATGCGCTCCCTTCGGCAGGCATGGCCACGTGTGGCCTTGGGCTCGGGGCAGGATGCCTTTTGATTGGGGTCGATCGCCTTTTGGTGTGGTTTTCACCATCTCGAGGCTGTCCGGAGCCTGCTCCTATCCTGAAGGGCAGGAATGAATTCTGACCCGTGTACCTCATGCTTCAACACACAGGAGGACAGGTCCCTGCCCCAAGGACCTTCCTATTTAAAATGGGACAAGAGAAGCAATGGAAGTAGCAGGGTAGGGTGAGCTGTGGAAGGATGCGCTTCTGCAGCGATGCGAACTGAGGCTTGGTCCAGTGGGGCAGGAGCTCGGGGCTTCCTGCCCAGGCACACGCGCCCCATGCCCGGCTTCCCTCAGAGCCTTCCGCCCCGGCTCCTGCCTGTCGCGGCGGCCTGAGGCGGCCCACTGCAGCGGCCACGGAGCCTCACTGGGTCCGCCGTGTTGTCTCCGCAGCTCCCAGCGGCCGGGGCCAGCCGCCACTGAGCCGACGGAGGCCACGCAGCGCCACATGAGGACCGACCCGCGGGACTGCCCTCCTGTTCCTGATGCAGTGCGTGGTGAGTGCGGCGGCCCCTCGGCTGGCCAGGAAGAGGAGGGGGGCTTGGGGCCTGGACTGAGCGCTCCTCGGGGCACCGACCTGGCCCTTGAGAGGGACTGGGGGAGCTGCGGCAGGGTAGCTGGCCATCTCCAGAGCTGAAAGTAAGAGTGCCTCAGAGTATGTGCAAGGTGCTTGTTCTCCTGCTTTGAGGAGTCGTGCAGGCCCTTATCTAGCCAGACAAAGCCTTTATGGGGCCATCCACGTGTTCCCGGTGTGCAGAAACAGGCCGGCCCATGGACTGCTCTTTCCGTGGGAGCACTGGGGGAACTGATCCTGTTGCCCTGGCGCGGAAGGCCAAGGCAGGTGCAGGTGCGGCGGGTGCTGCTGCTTGCGCTGGAACCTCAGCTCCCCCAGAAATTGCTTGACTGCAGATATTTCTTCCACACCTTAGTTCCCTGCAGGCAGAGAAAGCAGATAAACTGACAGCCCCTTACTGGGCTGTGGGGATGGAGGTGGGCAGGGAGGGCTCTTGCCAGCCCCCTTCTCTTCTTCAAGCAACCTGCTTTTAGAATACTTGCTGACCCGGCCATTTGGAGTCTCCTCCGCCTTTTGGTTTCTGCGCCCCCTCCGCGGTCGCCAGAGGGGGGCTGAAGCCACAGGGAGACGGAGGGCGCTCTGGCCCTCGCGAGGTATGACTCGCCCCGATGCGCCACGAGGCCGTGCTCTCCACGCACGGCGCTGCAGAGGAGGAGCCCACCCGGGGCCCGTGCAGCTCGCGGCAGGGCGTGGGGGCTTTGCCCGCGGCCCGCAACTGCCCGGAGCGACCTCTCAGCACCGGCGGGGAGCCACCCAGGCCCTGATGGATGCCCTTCGCTGCCCCCGGGAATATGCTGCAAAACCCGTGCGGCGTTCTGGGCTCCTCGCTCTGCCCCCACGCCCGACAGAGTCTTCTCTCCGCTTCCCTCAGCAGGTTGACCTGAAGCTGCGGGTGGAGAAGCTGAACGTCACCATGGTGCCTGGAGTCGCCAGGGCGGGCGAGGGGCCTGGGCTGCCGTGCGAGTCCAAGGCAGATCAGGAGGAGCGGGTCCTGGCCGTGCTGGGCATCGTGGGCACTGTCCTGAACCTGCTCGTCATCGTCTTCGTGTACATCTATACTACCCTCTAGCCCCCCACCCCGGCAGGGGCCCGGGCCGCAGGGATGGCTGTGGAGTGGGACCAGCGGCCAGGAGTGCCGAGGCCGGGACAGAGCTGGACCGGCTGTGCCTGGGGGCTTCTGCCTCGGCTGCCATGGCCGCACCTCCCGCAGGAGCCTGCTAGCAAGACACGCTCCACCGGGGCCGCCTGCTGCTGGGACCGTGCTGTGCTCCTCCGGCAGGCGGAAGTGGGCAGGCTGCCCTGCACAAGCCCCGTGGCCCTCTGCAGGGGAGGAGGTGAGGCCGGGTGGGCAGGGAGGCTCCCCTCGGGTGGAAGCGCCTGCAGGCACAACCAGGCGCTGACTGCCTCCCGCCCTCCCTCCCGCCCTCCTGTGGCTGCCCACGAAGTTGCCACTGCCACGGGATGATGCTGGCGGGGAGGGGCCCCCGCTGCCCCGTCAGGGAGGCCCACCAGCCCCCGGCGCCAGCTCTGAGCCGCGCGTCCCGTGAGCTGCCCCCTCCCACCAAACTTTGCTTCAGCTCAGAGCACCCTTGGCACACGTGGGGGTGGGGCTTCAGCAGACCGAGCTTCCGTTTGCACCCCCGGCCTTAACACAGCCTCCCCCCAGCGTGCGGGACGTGCCCCTCGGAGCGCCCACTCAACGCGCTGGGCCAAGCTGTCCGGCACGTCTCGCCCCTGGATCGGTGCCCCTCGCAGAGCCACCAGAGGAGGCCGGATAGGTGTATTTGGCCACGAGGGGGGGGGCTTAGGAAGGCCCCCTTTTACTGGGGGCCATGATTCCGCTGTGCGTGGAAGTACCAGCAGGGAGGGGAGGGGAGGGGAGGGGAGAGGCCGCGAACCGGTTCTGCTGGGATCCTTCACCTCGCCTGCCCCAGCTGCTTGTTTGGCCAACCAGAGCTGCAGGTGGGGAGCAGGAACGGGGGTGGGGGGCAGTGAGTTCGGCACTGGCCAGTGTCTTCCCTACCAGTCTGATTCTTGGGGCGGTGGGGGGCTGGTAGAGGAATCCTGGTTTGCAGAGACTTTGGTCTCGTCCTGGAATGTGCCCACCCGTCTGTGCTCCCATCCTCTCTGCGGATGTGGCAGGAGAGAGCAGCCCAGACTTGAGGAAGGTGCCAAAATTCAGGATTCTTTTTTAATGCAAGCCGTCCCACCCACACCTCCTCCTGAAGCGAGTGTTGCCACGAGCGACAGCGAAGTCCCGCTTCCAGCGGGAGGAGGTCCTCGAGCGGCTGCCAGAGCCATGCCGAAACGGGGGCACGCTCTGTCCCAGCGCCACCCCGAGCGGGGGCGGGGGGGGGGGCTGTGCTTTTCTAACAACTGTTGTACTTGTGGAATTTTATATACAACCAACTTTGAAATAATCACAAGGAGATATTTATGGAAGTAAAGAGACGTTGATTCCTCGTTTTGCTGGTGCGGACACTTGGGAAGGAGGTGTGCATGGGTGGCCCGCTGGGGCGGGACCGAGGCCCGGCTCGCTCGGGACAGAGGAGCCACGTGGCAGCGAGTGAGGCGCTCCCACTGCAGCGCGTCTGTGGAGCGCAGTGTGTGCAGGTGGAGGAGCACGGGCTGTTGGCCTCCGGCTGTGCTGCCGGGCCCTCCCTCGGGGCTCTTCCGGGGGCTGTGCGGGGGGCCTCCTGCAGCACACCCCAGGAACTGCGGCCCGCGGGGGCCACAGCGGTTGCGCGAGGCCCCTGGCGAACGAGCCACCGAGAGGCTTCTGCAGTGTGGGCTGTGCACACAACGGAAAGGTGGTATGTGCCCACAGGACCTCCGTGCCTGGGGCGCTCACTGATCGGGTAGCCAGAAGTATCAGGCGCTTTGACAGAGGAAGCAGAGGGAGTCTTTCACGTAGTTGGATCCGTGGCTTTCAGTGGCCCAGCTTGACAGCCTAAGCTCGTCCCAGAATCACTGAAAATGGTCCGTTCCTGGTGGTCTGGCAGTTTCACCTTGGAAGGAGGTAAAAAGCCCCCCCCCCCCGCAGATTTGTAGTGAGACTCACACTATCATAAGTGATCTGGAGTCTTGGGAGTACGCAGCGCATGAGCCACGTCCGTGGAATGGCACCAAGTGACTGAGGACCAAGCCACTGCTGCAGAAGCTCCCCAAAGATCTCCAAGGTGGGGGGATGAGGAAGGACATTAGAAATGTAGTTTAAACCATCACGTGACGCACGGCGGGGCACGGGGGGGGGCAGGCTTCTGTTCCTGTGAAGGCTGGGCTGGCGAAACGAGGTCAAATTCCAGCCCATGGTCAGGAAAGGGCAGCCCAACTGCTCAAAGGGCGGCAGTGGTTCCTTTGCGCTGCTTTGGGCTCAGAAGGGCAGTGAAGGGGGGAGTCATGATAGGTGAGTACAAATTATATTGGGGTGGAGAAAGTGGCTGGGGAGAAATCTTGGCCCCCCTTCTAATCCTAACACCTGAAAGGAGCTCTGGAGAGCCTTCAGGAGAGCACAGGAAGTCCGGCCCTCGGCACACCCGCGAATCTACAGCACCGGCCACGGCGCAGCCCGGCCACACTTGCTCTTGAAGGGGTCCAGGCCTGTCGGGCCTGTCGGAGCACCAGAGGGTGCAGAGGAAGGGCAGCGCGCGGGACCGCGTGGATGCCGGGCCGAGTGGTCTCGCCCAGCTGTGGTCGAGCCGGGGCACTCCGTGGCAGTTCGTGGCACAGCAAGTGCCGATGACCTCTGGAGCTCTCCACCTGCTTCACGGGCCCCAAGAGGAGGAGAAGCCCTCCGCCGGGTCCCCACAGGCAGGGTTCCTCAGTGGCCCAGCCTCGTTTTTCCAAAGGTGCTTCAGTCGGCCTCTGTGCGTGCCAAGAGCAGTCGCCGTCTCTGCAGCTTGGCTTCATTTTGCATTCTGCACAACGCCTCCTACCTAGTTACATTTGGGTGAAGAAAACTCAGAGAAAATTCTGTGAAGTGGCCTTTATCTTTGGGCACTTCATAAAGAAAAAGTTTCAAACTTTTCCGGGAAAGCCTTCTGGCAGGTTCAGGCCAGCTGTAGTTCTCATCCTCCAGCGACCAGCCCTTTTTGGAGGGTGATTGTAGCGCCTGTCTCCAGCGCAGACACTGACACGGTTACTCCACAGCCCCAAGGAAGACGTGTTCACGCCAACCCACCTGGGTCTTCCTGGAAATTCTCCCACAGAAGGGGCTTCCACTTCCCTGCCTCTTCCCTGGGTGTGGTATCATACTTGTATTTCTGGATTTCCCTTGCTGCTCCAAAAGCTCAACCAGACTGAGAGGGCAGCGGCTGCTGTGTATGGGTGTCAGGTTTTTTGTTTCTATTCCGCATTTTTCCACCGCTGTGCAGCCTCCCAGGCTGTCTGTGCTTCCTAATCCAAAGAAAGTCCTGTGGAAGGAATTACCTCATAACAGAGCGAGAGCCCAAGGAGGCAGCCAATTCCCGAGCGGTGGCTGCAACAAGAGGCAGGCCTGCTCCTCGGCCCCCTCTTCAGGAAGGTAAGCATGAGACCCCTGAATATATTCCACAAGATCTTCTCCAGCCTTTTCTTCTCCTCTGAGTTTATTTTCTATCAAATTGGGATTGCCAGGTAAAACAACAATGGAAGACAATTTTGGCACAACGAGTACTTACATTTTAAGAAATGAAGAGCCTAGCAGAGTCACAAGAGATGCTGGTGGACGCAGCTTTTCAACACATTTCTTCACAAATGGGGAATGTCCCACAGCGGAAGAGAGAGGCCAGGGGGTGGGCTGCTCCGGAGTGTGGCTCCCCCAGCCCAGGCTTCTGGGCCCACTCCTCGCTGACCCTGAGCGGTGCCGCAGTGCCGCCACCTCCCCAGACTGCCGGCAAATCGTGGGGGAAACGGTGCCAGCACCGCCCTTCCTACCCACAGAAACTGCAGAGCCTCTGACCTGCCACTGCCGGCCCAGCATCCCCAGCCGGGCAGGTGGCCACGAGAGGCTGCATAGGGGCTCCAGGCCTGGAGGACCAGGGAACGGGTGCTTGGGCCACTGCTGAGCATGAGTCGCACCTGCTCGGGGCTTAGAGCACGGCCCCTGTGCTCCCTCGGAAAGCCTTTCACCCACCTGCCGTGGGCAGCGGCAGCAGCCGCATCCTGACCCAGAGAGGGCTGGCGCCACTCCGCAAGACTCTGGTGCACCCACAACTGGAGTCCTGCGCCCAGTCCTGGGATCCACATTACAAAAAAAGATGTAGCGAGTTAGAATCGGTCCGGTGGAGTCACAAGGATGGCTGCTGGACTTGGAGCAGCGGGGAGGGGCAGGAATACCACCTGAGGTGAGACTGTGGGATATGGGACTTTTCAGCTTCGAGAAGAGCAGGATCAGAGCGGATCTTATAGCGACTTACAGGTATGTGAAGGCGTGTCACATGGAAGAAGGCCACGACCAGTCCTCCCCAGTGGTGGAGGGTGATGGGGTAAAGCTCAAGGAAAAGGGTTGGGCTCCAGGTTGGATGTTAGGAAGTCCCTCCTGACAGTAAGGACCCCTAGGATATGGAATGGGCCCCCAAGGGAGATGGTGGGCCAGAAAGATTGGACAACCACATGCAGAGGAGGACATGAGCAGAGCTGGCTGGAGCCAGGGTCAGGCTAGATGGCCCGGGAGGCCCCTTCTGACTGGCTCTGCTTCTGTTTCTGCACTGCAAATAGAGGCAGGCAAAGGGGTGCTGCAGGAGGGGCTCCGGAGTCTGCTGAGCACGGAGGGGAAAGGTGACCCAGGTCAGGGGCTCCATTCACTTGGTGGCTGACCAACTGTGTAGGGGGAGCCCAGAGGAGGATCCGTGCCCAACAGCACCCGCCGGCACATGCACACCGCCGTCCAGCTGGACTGGTAGCCTCGGGCAGCTTTATTCTCTTGGAAGTCGCCCGGGCCCCTCGAGAGCCGACCGAAGTGGAGTGAATCCCACCCTTCAGCGACGTGCTTTGCTTCCCAGTCCCGTCCTGAGTCTCCTCACAAGCAGGTGCACGACGGCGACTCCTGGCTCCGGTATCGTGGAGAAGGAGAAAACCGCTTCCCCTTCCGCACGCCACGCATCAGCCTCTGCGGCCCCGGAGCCCCCGCGCCCAGCTCCGTTCTCCTGCGCGGCACCACCCCCGCCGGTGTCACCTCGCCTGGCGGGAGCTGCTCCGGGGCGCGGGATCCGAGAGGCCGCACCTCGACGGCCTCCTCGCTGAGGCGCGCTGCCCAGACGGGCGCCCGGCGGCCGCAACAGCTCCGGGCGGGGCGGGGCGACCTCCGCAGCTCCCGGCAGGGCCTCTCCGGGGAGGGGCGCGTTGCACGGCAGCCGCGCAGCGGGGCGAGCTTTGCCGGCAC